TAAGAAACGTGATCCTGTTTGGAACCAGACAGCAAGTAAACAATTGGTATGCTTTCGTAATCAAAGAACACTTTTCATCAGTTTGTAAGTCTACATAATGAAATAATTAATATAATTTCAACTACCAATTCTTGAATTGCTGTGTAAAAAGATGCTGAGAATCAGCTCAAAGAGACTTCAGAAGAATAAAACCTTCCCAGCTGACTCAGAATAGTCACCTGGGGTCTATTTGGCTCCTAGTCCTAAAGCTGGACTATTCTGCTTTAAAGAAGATTAAATTACCAATTGGAGGGCAGTTAATAGGATGAAGTTCCTTTCATGCCTCAAATTGTGGTGCCACGCCTCAAAGCCTGTTGGTGCCAGATCATATCTCTGTGTGAACGGTGGTGGCATCTCGACATATAGCTTGGAGCGGTTTCCACTTTTACCCAACATCCTAATGGTCTTTTATGATGGCTCTGCACATTTTCCCAGCATGCTCACATTGAGAAACACACTGGGATGCCAGACAACACTGGGTTGTTATTCACACAAACTTTACAAGTTGCCACTCAGCTGAACAGACTTCCGCAGGGAGACTTCCTAAGAGAACGGTGCCCTGCAGTTTATCCACATGTGAATTCTAACCAGAAGGTAATCCAACAGCTGAAGGCAAACCCTACTTAGACTGTCCTGAGCTGTTGGAGGAAAGGCAGGGTGCCAATCTAGCAAATAAATAACATGGCTGACTTTTCTTGTTCCAAAGCACCACTTTAATTGTTCCCGGTTCTTTTTATAGGGTTGTGATCCATTGGGATTATGATGGACCCCGTGCCCACCAAGTCTGGGTGGGTTCACACAACAGTCTTAGCATGGTTAATGAAACAACTTAGTTTCTCAGGCTACACCATTCCAAAGCCGAGCAAACAACTGACACATCTTGCTGAACAACAAAAGTACCAGCTCAGCTGAATACAAACCAATCTTAGCATATTGTTAAATGCTAGTTTAGCTGGCCTGGAGCTGCTCTGCCTGTTTCATGAAGAAAGAAAGCCAGTGATTCACAGACCTGGTTTCCACCGAGGGAATGAACCGAGCCCAGATGCAGGCGCCCACAAGCCAAGGAAGCCAGTGAGTCACCGAAGGGCAGTTCTGGTAGGGCAGAAGCAAAAAGTCCTGCAATCTTTCTCAGGCGAAAGAACGACAACAAATAACCGACAACATCCGAATTGCAAGGAAGAGCACAGGGAAAGTGTCAGAGCAAGCGAGCATGTCCACAGGAACATGACTCAGCTGAGAGAAGTGTGCAGTCATGAGACAGCCAAGATGTTTGGAAAAGTTTCGCTCTTTTTAATGCTGACCTTCTTCCTTTTGATCATTTTCCCAAGAAAGCAAGCAAGGCAGGGCACAGCACTGGGATCGGGGGGGGGGGGCTCAGCTCCCCTCTCTTCCTTCGAAGGGGTACTTCTCTTCCAGTCAGAGCCATCCTCCTTAACTGATTTTAATCCTATTCTAAGAGGAAGGCACTAAGGTACACATCAGGCCAGCTGGTCTGTATTGGTGGGGAGGGGACTGTCTGCATTGCAGAAGGGAAGGGAACAAGGGGAACTGAGCCATTCCCCAAACTGGCTCTGCTTATTGCACTCCATAAGGGGCCAGTTTAAAAGGAGATTCCTTGGCACCAGGGTGATGCCGGGATCGTCTTACTCAGGCGGCTCCATGTTGGCAACTTAAAGACTTGTGGACTTCAACTCCCAGAATTCCTCAGCCAGCATGGGAGTTGAAGTCCACAAGTCTTAAATTTGCCAACGGGGAAACTCCTGGTCTTACCCAACACGATTTTGTCCATCCAATCTCACTGTCAAGAGGTCCCATTCTTCAAGGGATGCAGAGAAGAGGCCGTTCCAGTAGCAATCTGCCCCTCCCCAAAATATGTCCACCTCTGTCTGTCCTTTTGATTAGAGAGATTCTGGAGCCTTGTTCAATGGTCCTTCTGACCACAGAAGATTATTGGGTAACCAATCTTATTGTGTAAAACAGAGGTCTCCAAACTTGGCGACTTTAAGACTTACAGCTGTTTTCATCATCAGAAAATCACCAAAGTCCTTGGAAGACCTGAATACTAATCTGGTTTTCATCAGTAATATTTCAGTGTTGTTTAAGATGGGCAGCCATATAAAACTTTTAAATAAATAACAGAATAACAGAGTTGGAAGGGACCTTCCAAAAATGGCAATTAAATGGTCTCCTTTATTTCAAATAACATACATAATAGAGGGAGATCTATTTGATTATCTAAAAGCACTGATATGGAAGCCTAGTTGGCAAAGGAAAAAAGCCAGAATAAGGCTGAAGAAAATTGGGGTTTTGATTTATTAGAGGGGATTTCATATTATTAATTAAGAGGGTTAAAGGGAGAAGTTGAGATAAGGGGAATTCTGGTCACTAAATTTAAAATATTTGGAAATTAGTTGAAAATAAGGATTTTACCTGTTTAATATTTAAAAATTAGACCTAAAAGAAAAAAAATTATGAATATGTTTGATTTATTGATTATCCCAGGTAATATATATAATGGTTTTGATTTATTAAAGGGGATATTGTATTATTAAGTAGATGGTTTAATGTGGTGGGAAACGGAAAACTCTTAGGAAATAGAACAATATTACATTCAAATAGATAAAATGTGTATTTTGGATATTATATTTTGTTAGAAAGTAAGAAAGTTTTGAATATTGTGGGGAAAACAAATTTAAATAAGAATTTTGTAAACAGGATCTATGACGAGGCAATCAAGATGATCAATTAGAAAAGAAGCTTTATATTGATGTGGTTATTATTTGCAGAAACATGAGAAAAATGTCTATATTTGTCATTTATTCAAATAATAAGAAATGTATTAATTTAAGGTTGGCAAAAGAGAATATTATTGGAAGAAGAGAAAAATCAAGCAAAGCCATAATATGGCCTATAGAATTATAGAAATTGTTATTGTTTTGTAAATACGAACCCAGACAACACGCCGTTTACCAAATATTAAGGTGATTATGTTAAAAATCAATAAAACATTTTAAAAAAAAGATTAACAGAACACTAGAACTTGAATGTAGAAGGGACTTGAGGAAGTGATCCTGGAAATCTAAGCCCACTGGCAACTCAGCCCACTGTCCAGCCAGCCCTTCCCCCAGGAAGTAACCTGTCTCTTTAGCCCAAGCTTAGCTTAAGTTCCTGCTCTGTTCCTCCCTGATCTACCCTTTGACCCATCTCCGCTTCAGCAATCATAATGTAGGTCTCAGCGTCCCCCAGGATGGGGAAGGGAAGGAGAACAACACCATTTTTTCCAATCAAAATAAGCCATAGTTTAGAGGGACCAATCAGATCGCCCTCGTTCCAAGCTCACTATATTGACATGGAGCAGGCAAGTTTCGGGGTAGGGGGGGAAGGAATGAAGGGATCACATTCTCTCCATCAGGGAATCTACTGGCAAGCAGCTCATGAGGATCGCTCAGCAATTACTTTAACCACAAAGAAGGCCTTAACTTCCCTGCAGGGCCCTACCTCCCTAAAGCTTCCTCCTGGGATCGCTGCACAGACTAGGTCTTCCCTGAATCAGCAGAATTTACCCCGTCCAGGATCAGCCGGGTAAATTGGGGACTCAGCATTTTGTCCTGGTTTCATAATTGTTGGAGCAAGGGGAGAGACATGAGGAGGTCTGGCTGCTTGCCCGATCCCTCTGTATTCTGTGTCATGTCTGCGGCAATCTACCATGACCAGCAGCATCTCGGAAACTTGGGCTCAGAATCAGAATCCCAGCTGATTTTGTTCCAAAACCCAGCGTGGAAGATGCCCCACTTGTTCCCTCATATGCTGGAGTGAGAGAGAATGGCCCATCCCTAAAGCCAGAACCATCTCTACTGCATTCTGCCAAGCAAAAGCCCCTCTTCCTCTCTCTGGGTATTTGAGCATTTGCGATGCATTGCATAAGATTTAACTCTTCCCCCCCCTCCCCTCCCCATGGTGCTGCTCCATCACAATGTCAAGGAACAAAGAAATCTGGAAGGTCGGAATTTGCTCTCAAGCTTTTACCGACAAAGTAACTGAAAAGTGCATTTTAGCTCAAACGTAAGCCGGGGAGGGGGGCTGCATAGCCTATGGTAAGTGTGCAATCTTTAGGGAGCCCTGGCCATGGTTAAAAGAGAACCACAGCTTTTGGAGCCCAGAGCCCCTGGTGACAAACAGGCCACCTTGTGACGCAGCAGGCACTCTTAATACAGAGAGGAAATTCCAAATGCATTTAATTATCCCTTTATTTACAGCGGCGGCACCAGAAGGAGAAGAAACTGATGCATTTGCATCAGTGAAGCCGAGCACATTACGTAACACCCTTAAGGAAGGGGAGTGGGTTCGTAAGTTATTAGGTGGGTGAAGGAAATGCCAGGGCGGTTGGCGGCACGTTCTCAGAGGGACTATTTCTGGACTGCCTGTGGATTGGAAACTCAAGACTGGGGTTGACCCCTTATTACGAGGGTCTCCAAATCTGGCAACTTTAAAGACTTGTGGACTTCAACTCCCAGGACTCCTCAGATACCTGACAGAGGAATCCTGGGAGTTGAAGTCCACAAGTCTTAAAGTTGCCTAGGTTGGAGACCCCTGCTGCCTAGGCCAGGGGTAGGCAACCTTGGCTCTTTTATGACTCGTGGACTTCAACTCCCAGAATTCCTGAGCCAGCTATGCTGGCTCAGGAATTCTGGGAGTTGAAGTCCACGAGTCATAAAAGAGCCAAGGTTGCCTACCCCTGGCCTAGGCCATTCATCACTCTTCGCCCTCAGCACTATATATATATATATTTTTAATAAGCAATGGTGATCTCCGCTCTCAGGAGCAGGAGCTCTCCCGCAACAAAACGGCACGGGGATGGTGGGGGATCAATGCCCAAATTAAATGTAAGCCTGTTTCCCCAGATTGGATTAGCTAAGGCGCTTAGCCAGAGGAGGAGGAGGAAGACGCGGGCCTGGCCTTACCTTCTGCCACTACCTCCTCCACCGTCACCTGCTGCCTTCCCACGTTGAAGACCCGGCCGACGTATCCACTCCCAGGCCCGGTGCTGCTGCTACCGCTGCCGCCAATGGTGCCCGAGCCGGCTCCGGATCCTCCCTGCTCCCGGCGAGAGTCGAAAAATTTCTTCATGGTCCCCGAAGCGCCCCCCCACCTTGGCTCCTGCTGCTTCAGCTGGGGGGGGGTGCCGAGGGAGAGCAGGTCTGCCCGGCGAAGGAGGAGGCGAAATTAATTAAGGGCTCTGCGGACGCGGCGTCTTGCGCTGCCCCCTCCTCCTCCTCCTCAAAGGGCGGCCGAGGGGGGTTCCGGTCTCCCCGTCCAGGAAGGCAGAGCCCGGCTGCGATTCGAACTCAGACCTGCGGGGGAGGGGGGGAAGGAGGAGGAAGAGGCAGGTTATAGGCCGCCCGGTCCCCGGAGCTCCAGGTGTCAATACTAGGCGGGGATCCTCGCAAGGGCCGGAAGCGGCCGCAGGGCCCAACCGGAGCACCCCGGAGCCGGGCAGCGGTGGGAGCGAGAAGCGGGGAGAGCGAGGAGGCCCCGGGGCGCCTTCTTAACCCCCCCCCCCCCCCCNCTGCCCGAGAGGCCGCGGCCTCCCTCCCTCCCTCCCTCCCTCCCCCCCCGGCCTCCCGCGGGCGCAGCTACCTGGCCGGGCCACAGCGTTACGATCGCGGCTTCCGCTGCGGGCGCCGCGCCGGCCCTGCAGCATCGCTACACGGTAGTGGCCCGAGGAGGAAGAGGCGACGGCGGCCGAGGAGCGAGGGCCGCCGGGCTTGGAGGCGGCCGGGGGCCGGCAGCGGGAAGACCATGCCGAGCAGCCGCCGCCGCCGCCCGCTCCGCTCGCCGCCCGTCCGGCCAGGAAATGAACCGTCGCAGGGAGGGCCGCTTCCCCCGAGCCAGCCGGGAGGGGGAGGGGGAGGAGGAGGAGGAGGGAGGGAGACGTTCGCCCGCCCGCCCGCCCGCCCGCCTGGCCGCGCGCTCCCCGCTTAGCCCCCCCCTCCCCTCCCCTCCCCCCCCCGCAGGCCCGCCCGGCGCCCTGAAAACCCGAAGCGGGGAGGGGGAGGAGCTTCGCGAAGGGGCTCGTTTTACTTTTCTACCCCCCCCTCCCCGCTCCGTCCACCTTCTTTTCCAAATCACACCAGGCGTTCTTCCGCTTTGCATTCTGGGAAGAGTAGTTTCCCTCCGCCGTCGAGGTCCGGCCACCTCGGCCGGCCAGGAGACTACAAATCCCAGGTAGAAGCGGGGCGCTCGACAACGCGGCCCGTCGGGCGCCCGGAGGAGGGGATTAGGGGACGTGTAGTCCACAAGGTGCCTCAGGTTGAGATTCCAGGCCGCGCTCTGAGAGGCGAAGCTTGAATGTCGACTCTCGGTTCCCCTGGTCGTTTGAGCCCCGCGAAGGGAGGGTGGCGAGGATAAATTGATGCCTTTCTAGTTCCCGACCCTTTCCTAGCCATTTAGTAACCACCATACACGGCTAATTCTAAGAAAGGCAGTTTCATGCAAGCTTATCCCAACCCTACTTCAGGTTCTCCCATTGAGCGCTTACCAAGCGTTTGGACTTCAGTTCCCATAATCCTCTCCCGCCAGCATGGACCCGCAGAGGACCCCAGATAGGAGTAGCCCTGCAGGGAGGAAGAGAGGGTGGAGTTTTCAACTAATAATGCCACCCAGAGGCATTCTGGGAAATTCAGAGGCCAATCATGGATTCCTGGCTTATATCTATCTAGGCTTACTGGTCTCCTCTGAGGGGCAAATGACATGGGTTTTGTCATTTGTTAACTAATTGTTATTTTGTATTTTAATTTGATGTATTTTCTCTCTTAAAATAATATTGGTTCATTACGGATTGGAATGTAGGATAGCTATATGGATTGATTAGATAGGTTGTAACATTCCTAAACTGAAAAGATAAATCTTCAGATTATTTCAGACAGAAATTTAGGAATAGCTTTTAACATTCCTAAATTGAAGAGATAAACAGGCTGAAGATTATCTGAAGATAAGAAAAGGCTTGTTAGTACAAACCAGGTTCTCAGACTCGCATCACACCAAGGTGGAACAACAGTCACTTTTCTGTGAAGCATGAATGTCTCCTGCAAATGCTGGTGGAATTTGTACTTGCACAACAACCCAACATTAACCCAGCAGGTTGATTCTGTATGACACACTGAGGCAGAAGCTAGCTAATGATATTTTAACCCAGTGTACAGACTGTATCCATGATTGGTTTAGCTTGGGATTAGAATTGCATGAGCCCAGCTAATTGTGTTTTACAAGTTGTTAACAAGTTGTGTCTATTCATTTATTTGAATTTAAATGTTGCCCTTTGGGTACAGCAACCCTATGAAGTTCATGAGAGAGAGAGATCCAGGGAGTTTCTAGGACCAGAATTACAGAATTGCTCAGTTGGAAGGGACCTTAGAGGTCTTCTAGTCCAACCCCCCTGATCAAGCAGGAGACCTTATACCATTCTAGAGAAATGGCTGTCAAATCTCTTCTTAAAACCTCCAGTGATGGAGCACCCACAACCTCTGAAGGCCAGAAGTTCCACAGGTTCTGGAGACCACAACTGGGGATCCCCCAGTCCTGATCCAACATGTTCACCATTATACTACAGTAGCAGAACAATGGGTTAAAAGCCTGTCAGCTTGTTTGTGTCTCACCCTTGTGTAAATTCAGGGCTTAGTCAATGGTTTGGTGCATTGTTCCATCCAGATGAAGTCGCACAAACACAACCAATGGCTCTCTGCCCATCTTGGGCCATATTCTATGAGCTGCCCAGGGGTTCGAGGTTTGGAGAGCAAGAGATCAGGAAGCTGGGACCCAGAAGGAGGAAGCGACGTTTTGCTAGCCAGGGTCAGACCACCAGCCCTTCCCTCTCTCTTTCTGAGTTCCCTCTTGGGACCAAGCACCCCGGCAGCTTTGGGGCCAGGTCAGTATCTAAGGATTCTGCTCACATGCAGGGCTAATTGTGAATGAGGATGTTGTCCTGCAAGTAGAAGCAAGACCTGAGTAGGCCCAGAGGGGTCAATCCCCCCCCTCAGAGATGCTGCCAGTTGATTTTCTGGTGAAATTCATGGTGCTGGGTGCCTCTGAACCAGGGTTGTCCAACCTAGACAACTTTAAAAGTTGTGAACTTCAGCTGTCAGAATTGCTCAGTCAGCTCTCACATAGTGTTGGAAACGTGATTAAAATACCAACAAAATTGGATTGGTAAGAAAAAGAGTTTATTCTGCAGAAAATAGAAAAGCAGTTTGCAAAGTGCGGTGGATCCTGGTGAGAGACTTCAACAGGAAGTTCTAATCCCAGAGACCACACCAAAATATTCAAACTCACAACATTATATACACTCCTATCGCGACGCCCCCAT